ATTAATCCCTTAAACTTTCCATATCTTGGAATTTGTCCCTCAAATCACTGAAATAGCTATTAGATTCAATCTTTTAAATGTTTGTGAAATTGGTCCCTCAAATCATTGAAATGGCTATTAGATCCCCCAGTTTTTAAATCGTTCTGAATTAGTTCATTAAATCATTGAAATTGTTATTAGGCCCTCCAAATCTTAACTTATTATGAAATTATTCCCTCCAATTAAGAGTAGAAGTAGCAATAAGAGAAAAATTGGTCCCTCAAATCGTATGTCATTAGTCCCTTTGATTCTCATAATTCTGTTTTAAATAAATCTCTTTAATTGATAATTCTACTATTGATTTCAAAATATCAAAGATTTAAGGGACTGATATCGGGAAAAAAAGAAGCTTCTTTTTTAAATTTAATGATCAATCTATTTTGATCAAAATCTTTTACTTCCAAATTGAATTCCAAAATTCTATACACATGTGGGCTATGCGTGTGGATGTAAGGGGGGAAAAAAATCTTGTTTGATATGATAATCTTCCTTAGTTCATACTTTTTGGTTACCGTAGAATGCTTATAATTGATCCTAAAGTAAAGTCAAAAATATGTTTTAGACAAAGAAGTAGGTATTGGCACTCGAAGGAGACAGTAGGATTTATGTTTGATTTCTCACATTGACCCATAGAAAAGCATGGATATAGAGATAAATGAGAAGCTTTTATGTGATCCTTATCGTGGAGGATATTTTCAAAATCTGTTTCACTAGGAGTTGGATCCAAAATTCCAAATGGTTTAGACTATAATAAAGGAATTCTTGTCACTGCATTTCAGTTGTGTTACATATCCATATATATACCTTATCTAGACTCATCAATTTTTAATTTTATTAGTAATGCATGAAAAAGTTGGTCGACAAACGACTCCTATATTCTTACGTTTACGAGTCTTTACTTGCATAATAATACCTTAAAATTGCTTTCAAACTAAAGTACTGATTACAATTAAGGCCATGATAGGTTGAAGTGAACCAAACAATTAACAAACAATTCGATTATTTTTCATCTAGATGTTCGATCATATTTGATTCCCTGCTTTATTTAACATTAAATGAATACTTTGGGTTCATAAAACAAAAGAATTTACTCAAGGACAACGATTCTATGTGAATATTAATTGTTTGTTTATGTTTAAATTTTATTTTTATAAATTTAATTCATTACAGTTATTATTCATTGCAAATTTGTTTTTTCACATATCCAATCATATATAAATAAGTGAATAATCTAGGGTCATATAGAGAAGTTAATAGTGTAGGTTTTATATAAATAAGTTAATAATCTAGGCCCACACACATAAGGTAATAGTCCCGACCCATTTACGCTAATGGGCTGTTTGGAAAGAGGTTTTTTAGGGGGAAATGGCTGGAAAGCTTGCCAAAACCCTGCCAAAAGTGTAACTTTTGGCAGGTTTTCCACCCAAATCGCCTCTAAAAGAGACGATTTGGGTGGAAAGCCTGTCAAAAGCTGCACTTTTGGCAGGCTTTCCCCCTACCCAAATCGCAAACAAACCGTCTCTAAGACTAAGTTAAGAATGTAGGTTTTCTCATTCTCTCTCAGTTGCCTCTGCCCCCTATATCAGGTGTGCCGCCTTTTCAAGTTTTCATTCCAATCCCCATTTCTCTCCAGAGAATCAGCGGCGAAGCTAGAAAGTTGTAATAGTAGCGTCACAGTATACATTATACAGGGAAGACGATATTTTTAATTTTTCTTATATTCACTAGAACTTAACGAGATACAAATATATATTTTAACAAAGTACAGTTACAAATAACATTTACGTGTCTTTATATTATGAAATTGTTGCATTATTTAGCTTCACTGGAATACTACTAAGTACATCTTTTAGTATAAGGTACTAATCTGTCGGTCGCTCATTCATTGATGTATCATTCGACTTCACAGACCATATTTTTCAATATAGGTTACTTACTTATTTATTTTTCTTTTGTAAAATAATGTTAACTATTTGGTACATGGGCTCTTAAGATTAGACTATTTAAGGCTTGTTCCTTTACAGATAAATCTCAATTTTATCACTACTAATTTAATTATATAATGGTGTCACAAATGGATCATAAATTGTTTTTTTTTGTGCTATAGAGGGTGGTGCACCCTCTATAATGCAGCTCCGCTCCTGCGGAGGATCTCCTCTCTTACGAGTATCTCTCTACATGTCGATGAAAAGGACCAAGGTGATGAACGAGTAGTTACGAATAATTACCTATCTTCTGCATATATAGGCGAATTGGATTCAAATTTGATTTAGTATTCCACTCAGATTCAAATAAGAATTCTAAGGGGTTGTTTGGTTCGCTAAAATGAGCCCTGAAAACTGATTTCTTCTCTTGACACATAAGACTTTTTATTTCTTTTCGTTTCTTTATGTGAGTTTGGTTCGCAGAGTGAAGAAGGGTTTTCAGAGGCGGAAAACAGCCCCACCTCAACGAAATCTCTCATCACGATTTCCTCCAAAACCGAGCGAAAAAACCTCTAAAACCCTCCTCTCGTGTCCTTTTGTTAGATCTGTATTTAATTTGGGGAAATCTCTCAGTTGGCTAGGGTTACCGCCAAGCCTCTCTTTGTGCCTCGGTGGTTGCTTGCGGTTTTCCCCCTTTACCCTTGTTATGGTGTTCCCATGTTTCACCTGAGTACAACTCAATACCAAGTAGCTGGCATGTGTACTTCTACACGCTATACCCCAATCAACTTGGCAGCCAGGGACGAATAGGGATGACAACTCAGCCGACTCATCGAGACTCAATACCAAGTACCTTTTCCTATTATTTAGTTTTAGTTAGATATCTAATTAGTGTTGTTGTCACTAATTTAATAACACATGGATGTCAATTTGGTAGGAGTTTTGATTATTGACATTGCGTATGGATGCTAGCTAGTCATATTAATTATTTCAGTTTAATGTTTGCATTGTGTTTTCGGGGAAAGTTGCTGTTTTCATTGCTTTTGAATCTGTTACAACTTCAAGCGTTACAACAAGAATCGATAAAAAGTCGGTCTTTTTATAAGACCTCCTCGTGCAACAAAACAAAGATTACAACTTTATCGAAAATAAACACGAGATCCCGTTTTGGTGCGGTCTCGCTTGCGTGGGTCTTTGGCCTGTGACGGGGACGTCAATATCCGTGGACCACCGGGGCAATCAGATCTGATCCGGATAAATTAATCCCTTAAACTTTCCATATCTTGGAATTTGTCCCTCAAATCACTGAAATAGCTATTAGATTCAATCTTTTAAATGTTTGTGAAATTGGTCCCTCAAATCATTGAAATGGCTATTAGATCCCCCAGTTTTTAAATCGTTCTGAATTAGTTCATTAAATCATTGAAATTGTTATTAGGCCCTCCAAATCTTAACTTATTATGAAATTATTCCCTCCAATTAAGAGTAGAAGTAGCAATAAGAGAAAAATTGGTCCCTCAAATCGTATGTCATTAGTCCCTTTGATTCTCATAATTCTGTTTTAAATAAATCTCTTTAATTGATAATTCTACTATTGATTTCAAAATATCAAAGATTTAAGGGACTGATATCGGGAAAAAAAGAAGCTTCTTTTTTAAATTTAATGATCAATCTATTTTGATCAAAATCTTTTACTTCCAAATTGAATTCCAAAATTCTATACACATGTGGGCTATGCGTGTGGATGTAAGGGGGGAAAAAAATCTTGTTTGATATGATAATCTTCCTTAGTTCATACTTTTTGGTTACCGTAGAATGCTTATAATTGATCCTAAAGTAAAGTCAAAAATATGTTTTAGACAAAGAAGTAGGTATTGGCACTCGAAGGAGACAGTAGGATTTATGTTTGATTTCTCACATTGACCCATAGAAAAGCATGGATATAGAGATAAATGAGAAGCTTTTATGTGATCCTTATCGTGGAGGATATTTTCAAAATCTGTTTCACTAGGAGTTGGATCCAAAATTCCAAATGGTTTAGACTATAATAAAGGAATTCTTGTCACTGCATTTCAGTTGTGTTACATATCCATATATATACCTTATCTAGACTCATCAATTTTTAATTTTATTAGTAATGCATGAAAAAGTTGGTCGACAAACGACTCCTATATTCTTACGTTTACGAGTCTTTACTTGCATAATAATACCTTAAAATTGCTTTCAAACTAAAGTACTGATTACAATTAAGGCCATGATAGGTTGAAGTGAACCAAACAATTAACAAACAATTCGATTATTTTTCATCTAGATGTTCGATCATATTTGATTCCCTGCTTTATTTAACATTAAATGAATACTTTGGGTTCATAAAACAAAAGAATTTACTCAAGGACAACGATTCTATGTGAATATTAATTGTTTGTTTATGTTTAAATTTTATTTTTATAAATTTAATTCATTACAGTTATTATTCATTGCAAATTTGTTTTTTCACATATCCAATCATATATAAATAAGTGAATAATCTAGGGTCATATAGAGAAGTTAATAGTGTAGGTTTTATATAAATAAGTTAATAATCTAGGCCCACACACATAAGGTAATAGTCCCGACCCATTTACGCTAATGGGCTGTTTGGAAAGAGGTTTTTTAGGGGGAAATGGCTGGAAAGCTTGCCAAAACCCTGCCAAAAGTGTAACTTTTGGCAGGTTTTCCACCCAAATCGCCTCTAAAAGAGACGATTTGGGTGGAAAGCCTGTCAAAAGCTGCACTTTTGGCAGGCTTTCCCCCTACCCAAATCGCAAACAAACCGTCTCTAAGACTAAGTTAAGAATGTAGGTTTTCTCATTCTCTCTCAGTTGCCTCTGCCCCCTATATCAGGTGTGCCGCCTTTTCAAGTTTTCATTCCAATCCCCATTTCTCTCCAGAGAATCAGCGGCGAAGCTAGAAAGTTGTAATAGTAGCGTCACAGTATACATTATACAGGGAAGACGATATTTTTAATTTTTCTTATATTCACTAGAACTTAACGAGATACAAATATATATTTTAACAAAGTACAGTTACAAATAACATTTACGTGTCTTTATATTATGAAATTGTTGCATTATTTAGCTTCACTGGAATACTACTAAGTACATCTTTTAGTATAAGGTACTAATCTGTCGGTCGCTCATTCATTGATGTATCATTCGACTTCACAGACCATATTTTTCAATATAGGTTACTTACTTATTTATTTTTCTTTTGTAAAATAATGTTAACTATTTGGTACATGGGCTCTTAAGATTAGACTATTTAAGGCTTGTTCCTTTACAGATAAATCTCAATTTTATCACTACTAATTTAATTATATAATGGTGTCACAAATGGATCATAAATTGTTTTTTTTTGTGCTATAGAGGGTGGTGCACCCTCTATAATGCAGCTCCGCTCCTGCGGAGGATCTCCTCTCTTACGAGTATCTCTCTACATGTCGATGAAAAGGACCAAGGTGATGAACGAGTAGTTACGAATAATTACCTATCTTCTGCATATATAGGCGAATTGGATTCAAATTTGATTTAGTATTCCACTCAGATTCAAATAAGAATTCTAAGGGGTTGTTTGGTTCGCTAAAATGAGCCCTGAAAACTGATTTCTTCTCTTGACACATAAGACTTTTTATTTCTTTTCGTTTCTTTATGTGAGTTTGGTTCGCAGAGTGAAGAAGGGTTTTCAGAGGCGGAAAACAGCCCCACCTCAACGAAATCTCTCATCACGATTTCCTCCAAAACCGAGCGAAAAAACCTCTAAAACCCTCCTCTCGTGTCCTTTTGTTAGATCTGTATTTAATTTGGGGAAATCTCTCAGTTGGCTAGGGTTACCGCCAAGCCTCTCTTTGTGCCTCGGTGGTTGCTTGCGGTTTTCCCCCTTTACCCTTGTTATGGTGTTCCCATGTTTCACCTGAGTACAACTCAATACCAAGTAGCTGGCATGTGTACTTCTACACGCTATACCCCAATCAACTTGGCAGCCAGGGACGAATAGGGATGACAACTCAGCCGACTCATCGAGACTCAATACCAAGTACCTTTTCCTATTATTTAGTTTTAGTTAGATATCTAATTAGTGTTGTTGTCACTAATTTAATAACACATGGATGTCAATTTGGTAGGAGTTTTGATTATTGACATTGCGTATGGATGCTAGCTAGTCATATTAATTATTTCAGTTTAATGTTTGCATTGTGTTTTCGGGGAAAGTTGCTGTTTTCATTGCTTTTGAATCTGTTACAACTTCAAGCGTTACAACAAGAATCGATAAAAAGTCGGTCTTTTTATAAGACCTCCTCGTGCAACAAAACAAAGATTACAACTTTATCGAAAATAAACACGAGATCCCGTTTTGGTGCGGTCTCGCTTGCGTGGGTCTTTGGCCTGTGACGGGGACGTCAATATCCGTGGACCACCGGGGCAATCAGATATGATCCGGATAAATCGGACAGAGCTTCGTCGATCCGCGTGAGATCTAGAAACTTCTGATCCAGAAATATCGGACAGAGCTTCGTCGATCCGCGTGAGATCTAGAAGCTTAAAGCGTCAATCTCGGCTAAAGCGAGATATTAGCTCTTCTTAGTATTAACGCCTAGGGCTAATACTAAGGATCAGACGGGGAATGGGTGATGAAGACTGATGTAGACCTCTCCTCCTTGGTTGAAGCGTTCGACCACTCTTTGCTGCAGCAGGGCTTCGCCAAGGCTCTCCAAAAATCCTCCTCCTAAAAGCAAGGCACTAGGGGTCTATTTATAGGCATATAGGAGTGTGTAGGGGGGTCTAGGGGGCCTAGACACCCCCTGGTGTCTCGGCCAGGCCGAGACACCCCTGGGGTGTCTAGGCTTTTCCTAGACACCCCCGGGGTATTTCGACTTGCCGGGACTCCGTTTAGGTGTATTTCGTTGTCTTCCCTGTAGATTCTTCGTCCGAACTCGGATTTGAGTGATTCCGGGTGCGTCGGATGCTTGACGAAGAGTTCGATCCGCTCTGGTGGTTGGATTATCTGTAGAGTGGTCGAGGCACGAAGGGCGTTGTCCTTTTTGTGAACACCGCCGGGTCTCCGATTGGTCCGGGTCTTCGTTGTTCCGAAATCCTATAAGCTCACGTAGCTCGTCGATTCACTTCAGTCGTTCATCGACGTTCTTTAACATTGAACCGTTTGTGGAGACCTATAGGCAGTTTTTGATGCCTACAATAATGACAGAGAGTTTAAATTCCATCCCAAGTGTGGTAGTCTCAAGATTTCTCACCTAATCTTTACAGATGATCTGCTTTTGTTCAGTAAAGGGGATGTAAAATCAGTTCTGAAAATCTATCAATGTGTCAAAAAATTTGGAGCTATTTCTGGTCTTGAAGCAAATCTCACAAAGTGTTCTATATTTTATGGTGGAGTTGAAGATACTATCAAGAATGACATTTTCAATCACATTGGATTTCCTGAGGGGGTTTTACCATTCAAATATCTTGGCCTACCCCTGATTTCAAAGAGATTATCTTATGTTGATTGTAATCCCCTGTTCCAAAAAATTTCAAATCAATTTCAGGAATGGAAGAAGCACAGAACTCTATCCTATGCAGGCAGACTGCAGATAATTAAAAGCATCATTCTTGGAGTTCAAATCTTTTGGACTTCATGCTACGTTCTGCCCTCTAAAGTCCTACAGAAAATTGATGATCTTTGCAGAGATTTCTTATGGGGGAGATCTGATCATAGTCTCAAGGCTCCACTTGTGTCATGGGATAAAGTCTGCACAGGGAAGAATCAAGGGGGTCTGGGTATTTATTCTGCCATTACTTGGAATTTAGCCACTGCAATGAGAACATTATGGTATGTGCATTCAAATAAAGAGTGTTTGTGGATTAAATGGGTTCATGGCACCTATTTAAAAGAATCAAACATTTGGCAAGTGAGGGTGAAAACTGGTGACTCTTGGTTATGGAAACAGTTGCTGAAAGTAAGGGATAAAGCTGTGAATCTTGTGGGAGGGACTGATATGCTAATTCAGATTGGTTATGGAAACAGTTGCTGAAAGTAAGGGATAAAGCTGTGAATCTTATGGGAGGGACTGATATGTTAATTCAGAGTATCAGGTCTTGTTATAATCAATCCAAGATTCAGCTATCTGAGCTATACAAGATTCTATCTCCTATTGTAGGCATATAAAATTGCTTATAGGTCCCTTAGCACAGCTCGGCACAAACCGACGAACCAACGAGGCGACGAGATCGACGAATCGCACGCAAGTAACGAAATACGTCCATTCGCGTGTGGGATCAAGCCAAGTGTTCGAAGAGTCAACGAGTCATCCAACCAAGGGGAAACTCGGACGAATCACGATCGAATCAAGATCAATTTCGGACTCAAACTCAGAAGCGGATTTACTGCCAAATCAGGAATCCAATTTACTGCCAAATTAGATCATCAAATCAGAGTCTCAGGTCAACCGAAACACGGACAAACGAGACAACGGAAAACGACTCGAAAAAGTCGGAAAACACCGCCCGCGGGGGCTCGGCCAAAGCCGAGCCACCCCAAGGTGGCTCGGCCTTAGCCGAGCCACCTTGAGGTGGCTCGGTGGCC